TTGTTTCCCTCAAATTAAGCATATAGTCATTTGATTAAAACAAAACATTTTAGTGGCCTACATTTGAAAATATTTTTACTGCTACTCATTTTTTACTTAAAAAACAGTAAGATTTTTGAAGCTTTATTCTCTCATTTTCTCAGCTGACCTAGAAGATGAGCTGTCATTGCAAGATAACCCCAATCAATAATAACTGGCATCTCCAACTTTATTGACACTTCTTAGCATTAAGAAACAAGCACAAAAACCTTATCTATAGCAATTAAAATCTTCCGATTCTCTAAGCAACAAGGGTAAAGCTGTCTAGAAGTCAAACCCTAGTAATTAGGAAAGCTGGATAGGAGGAGGACAAAACAGGTCAAAACTTGCCTTCACACTGTAATTATTCAGTGAAGGAGCCCATTACTGTCTAAATTCTTCTAGATTTATTTGTTTGTTTCCCCCACATGGAATTTTTTCCTTACCAGAAGGAAATGTATATATATTGGGAAGTCATCAATCAATGCAGCAATCAAATATTATCCTGTAGACAAATATTTTAATTACAGAAGCCAAATATCTGAAAAAAAAGCTGTAATGTAAAGAAAGCAGTCTGGGTGGATTTTGAGTCGTTTTAAAAATCAGTGTTGTTTGATTAAACACACATTTTGAAATAATTAAAACTAATTTTATTATCACAGTAGTGAATTCAGATGAAGACTCTGCTCATAACTACGCAATTTCTATGCTACAACTCACTATATATTTGTGAGAAACCTCTTACTCATGTATGCGTATAACAGGCAAATATCCACAAGTTTTCTGTCTTCTTAAAAAAAAAAAAATCTGCATTGTGACATTTTGACTGTGATATTGTTTAAATAAGTGTTTTTCATTTAGCCAATCATCAACTTTCCCCAGCTTTATTTACATTACAAGCCAATGAGTCTGGCGTTTTACTGCCTGAAGTCAAATGCAATAGGATGAGGGAGCAGCGCTCTGCTCCCTCTGCCGCCTGGCTGTCTCCCCCGGTACAGAAACCTGGATGGTCTTATATTTAAAATATCATGTTGCTCAGCAACCAGTGGGTTTGCTTGGGAAAACAACGGCCACTCCTTAAGATAAAATTACTCTTGATGTATTTCAAATTTTGGTCCTGGTCTGCTTGACCCTGACACAGTTAGGCTACAACATTTAAAACCAATGCCTTTAATCATGTGCCCCCACTACTGCAGACAGAAACCACTTGCTTACGCTTACATGTTAATTTGTTCCATATGGTTTTACTTCTTGCTCCTCTGTCCTTCACAACACAAAAAACATTTCATCCTATAGTGAAAAATGTAATCCTTCCTGGCAAGAAAAGGGGAGTCGAAGGAAATCTGACTGGGGAGCTTGCCTCATAGTGACAGCACAAGCATACAGCCTCCCAACTGGATCTGTGCCATCCTTAGTCATGCACAGCTGGTGTTTGCTCACTAAAATACTCTGTTCATAAACAAGCAATCTCTATCCTATTATTGCTGCCATCTATTAATTCAACTTGTTTCTACTATAATAAATCGTCTCTGGCCAGGCAGCTTTCATAAATAGTCATTCTAGTCTGAATATGAATCGTCCTGGCAAAAAACCCAAAAATTCCTCCCAAGTGCTCCTAGGGGAGCACAACCGACTGCTGGTACATCAAAAGAATGAAAAGAATCAGATGTCAAACTAAGCAAGCAATTAAAAATAGGACACAAGGGTAAAACTTTAAGTTATTTCTTAACACAAAAAGAACACTGTATAGATTTATAGGTCTTGGTACAGGCACAAGATCTTATGCAATTCTTAACTAATCCATCTACAACAGGTAACCCAGGGTACCAAAAGCCTAATATTCCTGAAACGGGTAAGAGGCTGCCCTGCTTGTTCCCCTGGCTTTGCATCAAAAAAAACCCAAAACAAAACAAAACTTCAAAAAAAACCTACTTTGTCTTGGACATGGTATCTAGGCATCTAAATGAAACCCTGTCTTGAATTATGTACTCTGTAACCATGAGGTAAAAACATGCCAAACAGACTGAGCACGAGCATGTAAGACTTGAACTCCTGAATTCTAATCCCAGTTCTGCCAACAACACTGTGCGCCAATGACAACGTCCAAGGCTCTGTCAATACCTGAATACTTCAGACCATCACTATAACTGAAAAAGCTTCCATACAAAAAAAAAAAATTATCTATCTATAGAAAGAGTGAGATTTTGGTTTTGTTTAACTGTAGAAAGGACACTTTTAAGAGAAGATGGAAGGAAGCTTTCTTTTATCAAGAGGACAAAAAATTTCTTTATGCTTTGACTGTTAATCTTCTTCCAGCTTACGGCACTATCAAACAACAATAAGATGTCACAGCGGCTATTGAAAGCAGCAAGGATCGCCTGTAAACCAAACTCCTCTGAGAGCATCTTCCACAGATCTCCATCACCAGAGAACAGTTGTTCTCAATAGTCTGTGACCTGTGTAATCTTAGAAAAAGAACACTTCAAAAAGAATGTTGTCTTCTGATCTCTCAAGTCGTTCAGCACCAGCATACTACTTGCTTTGAAAATCAGTATCTAATGAAGGAAACACAGACCTTTATTGTTACGGTGACCTATTCTTCTTCACAAGTCCTTTCTTTCCTCCTTTAAACAGTACATCAAGTTCAAGCACCAGTTTCCATAAATCTGTATTTTGCTTATAAGAGACATAAGTACTATAATGAAATTGTAGGAGGCCGCTGAAGCTCTGGGCTACTAACAGAATCATTACTGCTTCATCAGAAAGAGGTGACCTTATGGTAGCAATGAAGGGGACGCAAACCATGGGAAGGTGATGCACAATCAGTAGTTATTAGAAGTAAAATTAAGAAGTCCATTGCTGCATATCTGAGCTCAAAGAAATTCACTATAAAGTTCACCAGGAGGTACCAGTGGATTCTGGAAAACAACCTCCTTATTTATTTCACTGTAACAAAACTGAACATTGCAATGATCCCTACAATTCAGAGCACTGGACGATTCCAGCCTGGATCAAGGTCCCAGAGATATTAATTTCATAACTTCAACTCACAAAACTTGTGCACTGAAATTAACGGGAAAACACAAATGAACACACCAGCAAATTCAAGCCCAAAGGTTAAACATAAATATGATGTATACCATCATTATCTTTCAAATATACATATTTACGTGTGAAGATATAGTTGAGTTTATTCAATCCACCTTAATTTCATATTTTCTAACCTCTAACTACATCAATGTACAATATCATGATGGCAGCGGCTTGTTAAATTGTGACCATCAGCTCATGCAAGTCACAGCTATTTCATCAGTTTGAGCTGCTCTTTGTTGACGAGCATCCGCGAGACACTGGCCTCGTGTTTCACACCACCACATAACTGTAACATCAGAAATGACTAGCATATTCTATGTTTATTTAACTTTCTTAGCTCAATTTCATTTAAAATTTTTTCTCAGTCTCCGATTTTCCAAATAACTCCAGCGACAACTTCAATCATTCTAGGCTATGGTCTCTTATTTGTGTGTTTTAGAAGTGTTTAATGGGCTACTGAAGTGGTGTATCACATTATTATGTTATTATTATGTTTAAAGCCAGATGTCTAACTCCTGACAAAAGGGTATAATCCCACAACTTGTGTATGTCAGAATTACCAAGAGATGCTTTATCTAAATATAAATTTAAACAATGCACAAAACTGCATGTTTGAAAAGTATCAGGCACAACCCTAAAATCACTTAAGCTGGTAGAGAAAGTTATGTGCAATTAGTTGACTTGGTTTCCATGGAGCTGCTCAATGACCATGCCACAACACAGATCACATTGCAGGATCACATTCATTTTGTAAATTATTACAGCAAATGCCATGTTTTAAAGTTAATTAGAAGGAACTGTTCAAGCAGTTTTGCTTTTCAAGATGACAGATTTTTCTCTGAAATCAAATTACTCCAGCAGCCTATTTAAAACACAGAATTAAAAACTGTGAAATATCAAGATGAGATGCCATTACAAACAGTATATATTTCAGAAAACAGCTTTAAACACTCTCTTCTTATCAAGTATGACGGAGTTTATGGAAACTGTTTTAATCTTTTACAAAATTCCTACAGGTAGTGTGCAGATCGCATGTAAACCTCACTCCTACCTGTTGTTTTCTTTTACTCACCTTTTACAAGAAAAAGATGCTACATTTACCAAATTAAAGTACCTGAGAATACTTTGTTTTTAATTAATGCTTTATGAGTACAAAACCTGCATTATACACCTTTACATAGGAAACGAAGCTTGCTTCTAAGCTTACCTCTGCAGCAACAAATGTGCACAATGGAACTACTCCCAGGCTTATAGCAGCAGGTGGACAAAAGGAAGACCTGTTGGTTTTACACTTGAATGGTTCCCACTGTCTATTTACAGCCCAAGTAACAGTTTGAGCAATATCAAACTGGACAATGATATTTGGTGACTCAAGAAATACATTTCCAAGCTTTAAGGAACACACATAGCTCCTTTTTTATCCTCAGCTGTTTATACAGAAAGTATTTTTTTGCACATTAATTTCTCTGGAAAAAGTAAATCTTTAGAGCTGTAAAAAACGTTTTGGACACTATCCATCACTTACTCATATTTTTTCCAAGTCAGTGCTCTGAATTGATAGAATTTAATTATTTATTACTTGTCTCCAACCTGCACAAACATTCTCTACTACATTTACACATCCTCACAGAAGTGCAGGTGAACTCAGAAACACAGAAGGGAAAGAACGCAGCCAAACGCAGATGAAGGATGAGAGCTAAGTCATTCATGGTACTGACAAAATATAAACAAATTAATATAAACTCAGAAGTCCATGAAAAACAAACAAAGAAATTAACTGTCAGAGTAAATACTTGGCTTTAATGTATATGACTGCCCCCAGCAGTATCCATTTTATTTATGACACACACTTGTTTCACATTCAGGCCGATAATTAGATGTTCACCTACCGAATCATTTGCTGCTAGGGCGAGGGCTAGATTTACTGCAAGAAAGAGGAAGAAAAAAAAAATTAAGTGCAAGAGAACTTAATTCCTAAATATTGACAATGTTATATATTCTAATAAAATATAATGTAAATAAATCACACTTAATTGCATTCGTCACCTTAGTTCTTAGCTTCTCACACCTCTACAACATTACTAGTTTAAGTGACAGTGGCACCCACATTTCAGCCCATGTCTGCTAACAGGCTAACAAACTCAAGTTAATCTGCAAAAACTTGCAAACTCTACATTTCTAGAGGAAACTGCGAAATAAAAATACAATCTAAGTATTTTGCCAAAGGATAACATTAAAAAAAAAAATCTGAGGTACCCACTTCACTTTTGAAAAGCGGTCACTGTACTATAAAACTAAAATAATCCTACCACAGGTAACCTTCACTACAGTCTCTAGTGAACTTTCTAAAAACTAGAGTTCAGGTAAGTATTGACCTAAACTATTAAAGTACAGCAATGAGAAAGATAATATACTCCTTTTCTGATTTCTTGTGATATATTAAAGGTGGATATATTCTGGAAGTGCAATGCATGCTTTCCACTTGATTTTTACGTCAGAAAACAAAGTCTCATCTACCCTGAAAGCATCTGTAACAACTAAGCAACAAAAAACCAGGACGAAGCAATTAAAAAGACGCTGAGTTTGTTTACAGCTTTTACATTTTCATCAATACTTAACTCCCGTAACTAAAAAGCACATGCAAGAAATAATATTTTTTAATGGCTCACCAGGTTGAATTATGTTGGAAGACCTCCTGGAAGCTTCAGTACAACCAAATATTAACTGTTATAATTCAAAGAGTAACATGTGTTTCAAAAAAAACAAAACCAACACCACACAACTCTTTCTTGCGTAGCATCTTTTGTTTTCTTTATACACTGCTGTATGTCAGTCCATAGACCCTTTAAAGAAAGACAAGCTGTGGTCAGCCTTTTTCTACTAGAAGAGTATGAAGGTACTGAGAATAAGCTGGGTAGCCAGATTCCCAGCTTAAAGAATTTAGTATTGAGAAAGTTATGTTCCTTTAAACAAAACAGTGAGACGGCTAACAAGCAAAGTTGTACAGCTCTCCCTAGGGAGTACACAGCCTCTGTTTACTCCTAAGATGATAAAGCACAGAGATTTTATTCTTCAGTTTGCTATTTAAACAGATGTTTGATTAACCATCCCCTGAACCAGAGGAAAATTCATCCTCTGAAACTTGGAGACCAATCTACAAATCACAGATAAGGAGAAAACACAAGCAAATCAATGATCAGTAAAAAAGAAAAAAAAAATCAACAGTAGCTCATGTCTGAAGAGGCATAAAGGAAGCAGCAAGTTCCTCCACACACTGTCTCCTATACAATAATCATGTGTGGAAATTAAATTATGATTCACAATGTTTCTTCAATAAAGGATATTCGATTACTGCAGGGAAAAAAGGGAGACAGTGGGAATAACACAGTGGGAAAGCCTGAGTTTTTTAGCCAGACACCTGATGCTCTCTGTTGAATCCCAGCTGACTCTTGCATTCCATTATCTTCGTATTACCATCAGATCCCAGAGGGCGTAGAGATGCAGCACAGGACCTAACCTGACCCTAAACATTCATGTTGGCCCTAACTAGTAAGTTCCCATACTCAGAAGTGCAGGGCAGATGCATTCCAGAAGTTCAATACAACTTTTTTTTATTATTATTATTTTTTAAAACTTCACAGCAGGCTCCAAGAAAAGTCACCATGGTATCTCTGGCCTTGCTAACCCAGCCAGCCAGTATCAAGAACGATGCACAGGGTGACTGGAGTTAGTCGTCTTGAAATCAGTACAAGTCTAGGGAGGTTTCTTAGTTTAGGCCCAAATCCGAATTCGCCATAGCAATAGCACAGCTGAATTCTCAGAACATTGAGCTAACAACACAAATAAAACTTCTTAGCCCCAAATCAGACATGTACAGAGCCAGCTGAGGGTATCTATATCTGTGACATGGTTAATCTACATCACCAATAAAATAACTATAGATAACTAAGATGAACTCTCTCTGAAAAATAACTTTCAATACTTACATCTCAATGTAAGTGACATTTAGAAATAGAATATCCAGGTTATGACTGTTTATCAGAATATGTTCACATGAAGAGAGGGACCAGAATCAAAAAACAGGACCTTGATTCTGGAAAAGAACCATGAACAAACACTATTATCACCTTTTTGCCAAAGCTCAGACCTGTGTCTGGGTTGGTCAGGTGACTAGATGGATTATGGCCGCTACATTGAAAGGGCGAGTTTAAATAATAGTACATCCTACATGCAGAATAAAAGCATGCAAAGAGGAAAAAAAAATAATACAGTTAATATGACTGGGATGCACTTGACTGTGTGTTGACTTTGTCAGCTCTCCTGAACAATAATGAAGAATCTCAGCCCGTTAGTCTTTGCTAAAAATGTCTGAAGGCCAAGGCAGTTGGTAGTATCAGTAGTTTTACTTTCCTCAAACTGCAGGATTAACAAAATGTTAGCAAGAACACCAGCCATTGTTTTCATTGCACTTCCACAGCCGAAAACAGTAAGAGTTTCAACAAATTAGAAATATCTCTCTTCTTTCAAGACCACACTTCGAACTCTTCTCATGCCAGGATCAATTTTCTACAGTACTCTCTCATCTTCAAAGTAATGCAAAAGAGGAGACAGAAGAGACCAAAAAAAACCCCACTTTGGCTAGATGGAGTAAATACAGCAGAACACTGGTAAAAGGCAGAAACTTGACAGGAAAGAGATAAGTAACAAACCAACCAACACTTACACTAGGCAAATAAAAACAGCAACAACAACCAACCCAAGTATTTAAACATGCACTGAGAAATATTTTTCCTGGAAAACAATTTCTTCTTTTAGTCATCAACTACATTGATTTAAGATGACCAAAAAGTGCTAGAAGCAACAGAGAACACAATACGAAAGCTATATGCAACAAACAGAAAGAGTTATTCAACAGGTTATGGAATGGCTCTGACAAACTTGACCAGAATGCATATCCGCTTGTCCGGAAATGGAGATCTGGAGCAACTGAAACACAAACACACTGGGGGAAAGAATATGAAGAGCCCTGACAGTCCTTCAGAGAGAAGCGGACAATAAGACTGACTATGTTTTCTGTGGTGCTTTAGGAATTAGAGGTGTGTACCACCCTCCTTCCTTTTCAACTCCTGCTCTCAAAATGAGTCAGAGGAGTTGTCACCAAACATGTTCCCCATAAAAATCCATTATGAAGAACATAATATTAAGTACACAATTCAGCAATGATGCCATGCAATACTTTTATTCACACAAGTTATCTGATCTTCAGTTGTTCCTCTGAACCATGAAACTTATTCTCCTTTTAATAAACAAGAACCTAGGTTACTTTTTCTTCTCAGTATTCTAAATCAATCCATTCATTAATAAAAGGCTGTCCAACACAGCAACATCTGAATGGTTCATTTACATTTCAATTCTCTTATTTAATGCTTGTTGAACTCTGATTTTTTATTTTTAAATGCATGGGTATGAACTCTCAGCTCTAAGTATTATTTATACACTACTCATTATTTATACATTATAGATTGCTTACACTTTATGTGCAAATTACATAGAGATGCCAGTTAGCTGAACTTAAATTAGCACATTTGTTTGCAGACATGAGAAGGATAATCTGAATTTACTGTTCAAATTACGTTCATTTTGTAAAGTGTTGATTTACAAACAGATATTTGGTATTTTCAGTAACCTGAAACAATCAACTTATGAATTATAACCATCAACCAAAAGGCACATGATTAAGAAATGCAAGTGCTGGTTCTTTTGCATGTCTTTGTACAGGAATGTGTATCCTATGTACAGAAATAAATAATTTGAAAGTAAGTACAGTTAGCCTTACTACAGACATCATGTTTATCTATTCTAGTATTTATCAGACAGTCAGTCCTTTAAGAGCTACATCAATGTGTTATTCACAGCAAATGGAGACGAACAGCAGACAACATTCAACTAAAGGAGGCCTCTTTTCCAACCCAGATGCTAAGGAAGAGATCTTCAAACAAATTTCTAACACTTTACAGAGATCTTTTCGAAGAGGTTTACTTTCAGTGACATCTTTGTTTAAGTTCAAGCAAATTTCTGCAGTACTGGTAACCCATGCACTATCTTGTTCTACCACCTAGGAACTGCACAGTTAGAGAAAAATTAATCCAAAACCTAATGGTGAGGTTGAGAGAAGAGTTCAAGTTGCTTCACAAGGCTCTGATCAATTTGTGTGGTTTATAACTACTGTTTCACCTTTTGTTTATGAAATGCCTATGCAAGTAGTTGAGAAAAGTAGACAGAGACCCAAATTTGAAACCTCTTAAATATCAGTATTCTCTACAGAGCACATGATTATGCCGACATAGCACAGAGGAGCACTGTATAGCACACCTATGCTGCCAGGGAAGGGGGAACAGTATCACGGCACCAGCATATGATCCCCTCCACCTCATCTTACACCACTTCTTAAGAAAGCTGACTGTCCCAGGACAGTGCTGCACTACTACCAAGACACCATGTTGAAGCTGTCCGCTCAATTTGCTCTTCATTTAAAGCCAAGACCTCTGTACCCATGCAGATTCTCAACGGAGGCAGTGCGACATGACAGAGGTGAAGGGCTGTGTTAGTGGGGCTCAACTACAAAGTAACGACGCAACAAGTGCCCAAATATTCCTTACAACATACTACAAAACGTGCAAAGTAAACAACAGGAAAAAAACCCACACCCTTACCTGCTGTTGTCGATTTGCCAACTCCCCCTTTTCCAGAAGCCACGACCACCACCTGCTCAACTCCTTCTATGGGCTTCTGCTTCGGCAGCCCGCGCGACATGATCCGGGCGCGTCTGTCCCGCAGGGCCTCATCCCGGGAGCCGGAGGGCTAACGAAATCAGAGAGCCA